AAGATGGAGAAAAATTTTTGCATCTATGCATCCGATAAGGGACTGATAACTAGAATATACTTAGAACTCACGAAAATTAGGAAGAAAAAATCAATAACCCCATTAAAAAGTGGGCAAAGGACTTGAACAGAAATTTTCTAAAGAAGACAGAAGAATGGCAACAAAAACATATGAAGAAATGCTCAACATCTCTAATCATCAGGGAAATGCAAATCAAAAACAAACCACAATGAGATATCACTTAACCCAGTGAGAATGGCCTTTATCAAAAAATCTCCAAACAATAAATGCTGGCGTGTTGCGGAGAGAGAGGAACACTCCTACACTGCTGGTGGACTGCAAACTAGTTCAACCTCTGTGAAAGCAATATGGAGACTACTTAAAGCATACAAGTGAGATCTACCATGGTCCAGCAATCCCATTGCTGGCATCTACCCAAATGATCCAGTGACACTCTACAAAAAAAGACACCTGCACTCGAATGTTTAGCAGCACAATTCATAATTTGCAAGGCTGTGGAAACAGCCCAAGTGCCCATCAATCCAAGAATGGATTAATAATATGAAGTCGATGGTATAAGTATACCATGGACAGTACTTCAGCTCTAAGAAACAATCGGTGATATAGCACTTCTATATTTTCCTCGATTAGAGCTGAAACCCATACTACTAAGTGAAGTATCCAAGAATGGAAAAACAAGCACCAGATATACTCACCAGCAAACTGGTATTAACTGAGTAGCACCTAAGTGGACACATAGGTACTACAGTAATAGGGTATTGGGCAGGTGGGAGGGGCGGGTATATACATACATAATGAGTGAGATGTGCACCATCTGGGGGATGGTCATGATGGAGACTCAGACTTTTGGGGGGAGGGGAGGAAATGGGCATTTATTGAAACCTTAAAATCTGTACCCCCATAATATGCCAAAAAAAAAAAAAAACGCAAATATATGAACAATTCACAAAAGAAGGTATGTGAATGGCCAATAAGCACATGTGAAGTTGCTCAACATCATTAGTCATGAATGAAAATTCAAGTTAAAATCACAATGAAATACTGTTTTATACCCACTAGAATGCCTAAAATTACAAAGACTGGCAACATTAGATGTAGGTGACAATGCAGAAAAACTGGAAATCATTTTCTTTGCTGGTGGGATTATAAAATTATACAATCTGAACATTGTATAGCAGTTTCTTAACCGGTATATAAACTACACAACCCTTTACCCAGAAATTTCACTCCTAGTATTTCTCCAAAAGAAATAAAAACGTGTATCCTCAAAAAGACTTGCATAAGAATCTTCATTCTCTTAATAGAAAAGTGGATAAACAAAATATGGCGTATTCATACAATTGAATACTGCTCAGTAATGAAACATATGAACTACATAATACATACATGAGTGAATCTCAAAAACATTATGCTTGGTGAAAAATAGCAGACACATATGTTCTATATGATTCCATTTATAGAATACATTTCAAGAACAGGCAAACATAATCTATGATGAGAGGGAACAATTTTATGCAATGATGATAGTAGATTTAACATGACTTTCTTCTTTGGAGTTGTATATTTGGATCACAAAATTTATTTTGGTCTGTGTCTGATTAATTTTTGACATTTCTCTGGCTAAGAGGAAACACAGATTTGAAACATGATGCACTTTCTCCAATAACTGTCTCATATTCTACTATATTTCAATGGCACCAAAATTGCTAATGAAACCATTGATTAAGAATAATTTTCAAACCACCTTTCAGCATTTAAACTCTTAGAGATAGCAATTTTAAAAAGATTGTGGGACTCTTAAGAGCATGGGCAATTGCACCAAGCATTTTTGTGAGAAACCGTAGTCAGTTGACCCCTTTGCCCATATTAGCTGTGTACCCTAGCACTCATAAGTGCAGATTCACTATTAGGATATAGATTCAAAATCAGAATGTACCTTGTTGTCAGTTTGACTGATTCTAAAGCAGAGATCACATAGATTGATACTCACCAATTATTATTGGCTGTGGCTCACTTTTTACTCCAACCCCTGCACTGGTGCTAGCTGCAACCTCTACCCGGTATTGAATACCTGGGAATAATCCACCAATTATTACAGACCGAATGGCTGCGTCTACGGTTTTGTTGATATGGAATCGTGTTTCATTTCCCAGACACCAGATCTAAAGAAGTGGAAAGTGAATAACAAATGAATAAGAGAAATTATTGTTTCCAGTAACTAGATTATTATAATTGATTAAATATTTTTTAACAGTGACCAATCTATTTTCTAGACTTATGGAAGTATTTGTAAATGACATTTTCTAAAGTCCAACCTCTGCAGTTTATTTATGTACATATAAATGTGTGTGAGCATGCATACTCACATCACTCACATACACCTGTATTAAAGAAAAAAAAAAAGGGAAGCTAAAACTATGCCACGTTCATTTATATCTTACTTTCAGCATTAAATGCTCATAATGAGTAATTTAGAAGGCAAAATTATTTTTTTAACCCATCTGGAATGTGAGCGTTGGTTGCAAATGGCATTTTGGCATGGATTAAAACACATAATTTCTTCTGCTCCATTTATTTATCAAAATTTATTATATATAAAATCTATTAAAATATGGTGATTATGAAATATAATATCTAGAGTATATAGGTGTACATCTAAGTAATTTATATTTCATTCAAGAAAATATTAACTTACATAGAAGTAGTTAACAAGATTAATTGACCTAAGTTATAGGTATTGACTAAAATGAAATTAAAGCCAATATTTACATTGACAGTAATAAATCTTCATATTGATCAAAACATATCTACACACACATACACATGCATGAAAACAAAGTGGTGGAAAGTCTTTGGTCTGACATTAAGGAAGCTAGGCTTTTACTTCAAGTAGGAGTTGAATTTTAGGGCATGTTTTCCTTTGGGATATGAAAATCTACTACTACAAAATGTGTTATAAAAAGAATTCCATTGTGTAGCCATATCTATACTCATACTACATAATATTTCAAAATCTATATGTAAGCATATGTGTAGAAAAATATATGGTTTATTTCTGAAACAGGTAAGCTCCTGAAATTTTTTCAACAAAATAATTCCTATGATTTATGTTTCTTTTATTCACATATGGCATCTGTGCTTCTAATGAAGGGATATTTAGCCGTTACCTAAATATACACTGTCATATCAAAATATGGGTCTTCAATGAGTAAGAAATTTTGCAATTAAAAAGAAGGTATCATGTTGTAAAAAATTATATCAATATTTAACTAAATAGGAGTTCAAGATATTTAGTTCCTGATGGTACCAAAGTAAATTCCTAACCTCAATAAAACACATATACCATAGTGGATAATTCTTTACTGTTAAAACTATGTCCTAACACTTGCAAAATGTTAAAATCTATATAACTATGAAATTGTTAAAGTATTTATTCTTGATTTCATTAAGCATCTTCCCTTATAATGCTATGGAAATAATTTTAAAATAAATGCTTATGAATTTAGTTCATTTGCTACAGCAAGTTGACATGTAATTTAAAATTCTATTTTAAAAATAATACTTTTCTTAGAAATAAAATTCAATCTGCAACATTTTGAGTGAAATTATTCATCTTAATTTCATATACTGACTGAATTTCTGAGGTGAGATAGGGCATCTAGTTCCCTATTGTATTAAATCTAATATGTTATTTACACAATGCTGAAAATATTTATTAGTAGTAAAAATCATAGTTTTGCATTTTTCAAGGTTTAATGAGGGGTTTTATGCTCACATGCAGTCTAATCACATCACAATTAAACAGAATCTTATTTTGAAAAATTAGACATATTCTGTATCTTAAACATCAAATGATGAAATATCACTGTTCCTAAATAGCAACAAATTCACCAGTTGAAAAATGAGACCAATCAATTTTTTGCAAGTAAGTTTTTTCAACATTTATTGTTTCAGTGGCTGTTTTTTCTCCAAGTAAAATATTTTTTAAAAAACCCAATAAATAGATAAAAATAACATTTAAAGCAAGAGTTAGTGCTGCCCACCTCTTAGTCCCACCCTACCCCAACCTACCACAGAGGTCTATACACCTGAAGCATCTTTTCTGCTCGGAGAACACGGTTTAAAAATAGCTGCCCTAAAACCTATTACACAGAATTCTAATAACAAAATTAAAGATAGTTTCTGGGATGAGGACTTCACTATCTATCCTGTACACTATCACTTTAAACCCCTGAGGTTCTAGAATCACACAATAAAGAAAACCACTCCACTGGTGGGGTTTAATTGTCCACCTCAGTTTGTGTGACCTATGATCTTGAAGTTAGGTTCTAATAACCTATGCATTTGTTTCATTACGTGTCACACAAAAATATAAATAATCATTTTACACTGAAACTAAATAAGAGAACCATTAGAGCTATGCCTCATTCATGACAGTGAGATTTCTCCAAGAACTTTCATATGAGAGCCTTCCTTCTTCACCCAGGCCCTACCTTGTATTCTTGGATAATTCCATTCTGGTGATCGGGAGGAGGAGGATCCCAGGAAACACTAATACTTGTGCTATTGTGGCTTCCAACTGTCAACACAGTGACAGACTGTGGAGGGGCACTTGGGGCTGCAGAGGAAGTAATTAGAATAAATGCAAGCTGTAAGTCTTGGTGTGCATTAGTACTCTCCCGGAATATGAACATAAACACAAGTGCATGAGGCTTCAGCTTCCAATAGTTCTGAATCTGCATACAATATTCAACAGTGACAGTTTTTGAAAAATATCCTTTAAATATAATGGATAGATTTAGAACAAATGCAACAGCTGTAGTAATATGCACTCAATAATACATTTAACAGCTAATATTCTGATGAGCGTTTTCAATATGCCTGGCACTGAGCTAAGTGTCAGATTTATTTCTCACAATAGCCTCAGAAAGCAGAAACAACTCTTATCTCAGTTTTGCAGATGAGGAAGTAAGGGTACTGTAAGAAACTATGGAAGTCAAACAGCAAGTCAGAATTTGAATCCAGGTATATCTGATTTTAAAACATTGATTCTTTCAACTAAAATAGACTGTCTTTCTGGGAATAAAAACTGCTTCTAACCAAAATTATTCTGAGAGGGATATATTCCAAAATTTTATCGAGTGTTATTTTTGAGTGGTGGCATTTTTGGTATTCTTTTTTTTGTACGGTTTTAGTTTGTTTACTAAATAAAAACAGAAATAGCTATAAATTTCACCAGCACTGAAAAAAAATCCTTTTCATACTGAGAAAAATAATTGACTGCTATAAATTGACCCACACTTTAAGATTTAAAACATATTTTATGTTGATGGGCAAGGGTCTCTGATGATAAAAATGAAAACAGTTTATGTTGGGTCAAATGTGAAATGGGCAGATTTTTATTTCCTACAGTAATTCTCCTCCTTTATTGTTTTCTCCTATAACTAATTACAACCATACTGGGAAAAGATGAGTGAAAAGCAATTCCTGATTTTAGACTGCAGCATCTGCCAGCCAGTGCATCGGAGTGCTCAGAAATTCTAATTTTTTAGAAAAAAACTTATCTATGCTCACTGAGTCTTTGAATAAAACCAAACGTAGGAAAACCAATATCAGAGTACTATGTAAAATCCTTCTTCACAGTTAAAAAAGTCAAAGAATTTTGTGATATTGAAGACTTTTTATATAAATCACCAATGCTTTCATAGCTCAACACAGTTTTAGTTCTTTGAAAATATCCTAAATTTCCAAAAATATTTTAAAAGCTCGTCGATAAATCTCTCATGTTTGGTAAATTTGTCATGACATATTTCACTGATGTATGGCCATATTTGCATTGAGAGATAGGACACACACAGATACATGCTACCATGTATGTGCCATGTACTGCTCTTTACTATTCCTCTACGTGATAGTATTGCCCCAAAATATGACACAAAGACATAAACCCAACCACTTGTCTACAAGCCTTGTAGTTATTAAATAGACTGCATTGAAAAACAACACTTTTGAAACTGGTTTCTCATTCCCCTTGCTGCTGGCTTGGTGAGAACACCATGCCTGCTTCCTGACAGGCCTATGATTCCAGGGCTCAGCTTCTTTCTACAGGTGTGAAAGAATCCAAATTACTGCTCATCATTTCCAGACACAGTTCAGCTGAGTTCCATTTGTTATCTTCACAAGGCCACAAAAATTGGAGATGCATGTATACCAAATGGTAACAAATGTCTAATCCAGAGGAAAAGTCTACCTGCAGTGAAATTGATTTTTAGAAGTTGGATTCATACATAGCACTCCGTGTTAGTTACCCACCCCATTCATTAATACTACCAATTTGCAGCATAGAGGAAAATTTAATGGTGTATAAAAATACTATTATTAATTTGTAATAATTTTTTCTTTACAGATCCTAAAAGAATATTAATGGTGCCTTTAAAAATAGGCACTTCTGCACATGTCAGTGTATCACACTGCAAAACAATGGAAAAGTAGTATTTTTGCTGTGTTGTGTATTACAAGGAATGTATAACTTAAAAGTTCTTTGGTCAAACATGAACATCTATATGTTAGTGTGCACAGTCTATATACATTTTCTTAAGGCTGCTTTTATTTTGTGTGAAATATGTTTAGAAAAAGGCTTTTTACAGGAGTTGTGCATGTAAAATTAGTGCTAAAGCAGAATAGGGGGATTTTGTGTGGCATCTCACATATTTACTGTGATGGCAACATTTATTAAAATCCTCTAGCTTAGTGAAGGAGACACTAGTAAGTGGATTGGTTGAAACCTACATTAATCTCATGTCTATCATAGATTTTAAAGTATCTGTAGGTAAGAAATGTTCCAAAGCAGGGGAGGAGCAGGGCGGTGAGGGAGCACTTCACTAAGAAGAAAGCTATTGGCAACATGCAAGCAGTCTTCCCAATTAGAAATTATAAGTGAGACTGGCAGTGCCCACAGGATAAAGAGGATTAGAAAAGAAAATGTCACACTTTACTATACCAAAAAAGAGTAGTCACAATGAACATGCTGTGTTCTTAGATTTACAGTATTCTGTCCTTTAATGAAGCAAAATGAGCTAACTCCACGTAAAACATATGGGAATATATTGAAATAAAAGTTAAGTGAACTGAAAAACATAAGATTTGGTGAAATGTTTACTTGAGAAGAATTCAAATTATATCAGTGTCATTTTTTTAGTCAGATTCTATGGAATTTTCACAATAAAAGGAGAAAATGACACTTTTAGATTATCTCTTTCTACTTTTCTAAGGAAGATAATAAACTAGAACTGTAACAGAAATTGGTTTCATTATAATATAAATTTAGTTCATTTTAGAAATCTGAGTACTGACCTTCTTCAGTAGTACGAACCGTTTTAGATTCACTATCCATTCCTTGGAACTCATTAAAATATGGTCGAACTTTAATTTCATAAGTCACTCCCTTTTTCAGATTGACTAAGACAGCACTTCGCTCAGTGGGAACTTTGGCATCTAAATTTTGCCAGGAAGATGTAGCCTGCAGGCCTGAAGTTTGACGATACATCACTCGGTAGCCTTGAATAAATTGCGGCTGGCGATCAACCTGGAAAACATCAAAGGACATGTAAACCTAAAAGGAAGACTGCAGAGATCACAGTGGATCCATCCCCTCTCCTTTCATCCCTATTTCTCTCATAACTATCACTTCATTTCTCTGCTACTAATAACTTCTTCCAATTTCAAGTTCACCAATTTCATTGCTCCTAAGATTGTTTCCTGCATTCAACAATCTCCATTTACGCAACTTTATATGTGATGTGCCATGTCTCGGAGATTCCCCTTCTCATCCCTCATCCATTCACTAATATCTTCACTCACTCAAAACATATGTTTTTCGTTCCTACTCATAGATGCCAAGAACTATCCTAAATTCTGGGAATAAAATAGACAATGAAGATAAGTCAGTCCCTGACCTCATAGTGCTTAGAGTCCAGGTAGATGGTGGATGTTATCCAATAATCACTCAAGTTATAATCATAATAAATAAGCATAAACGAACTAAGAAAGCCTACTACGGAAAGAAATGTGAATGAGTTAGGAAGGGGAAGACAAAGCTTCCCTGAAGAAGTCACACGTGCCGAGATCTGCAAGAATATTAGGATTTACCCAGGAGAAGAAGTGTGGGGCAGCATGCATAAAATCCCTGTGGTTGGAGAAAGCATAGAAGAGAGATTAGAGCTAGACAGAGTATCTGTTTTAAATGCATATGAATGCTTACACTCTTTACCAAATACTAAATAAAAAACTTTTATTAATTGACCAATTTCTGACTTCTTCTATTGTCCCAGTCTTGACACCATTTAACAACTTTCTTAATTTCTTTACTTATATTTTTTTAATTTCCAAATATTACAGGGGTACCCATTTTGATCACATAAATTGCCTTTGCACCACTGGAGGCAGAGCTAAAAGCATGCCCATCCTCTAGACAGATTGCATCACTCAGTTAGAAGTGAGTTTGCCCACATCTCCTTCCCTTCCCACCTGCCGGATCCCTGATGAATGTTACTTCCACATGTACACATACGTGTTGACCAATTAGTAACAATTTAATATTGAGTACATGTGATGTTTATTTTTCCATTCTTGTGATACTTTACTTGGAAGAATGGGCTCCAGATCCATCCAGGACAACACAAGTGGTATTAGTTCCCTATTTTTTTATGGCTGAGTAGAACTCCACGGTATACATATACCACGTTTTATGAATCCACTCATTTATTGGTGGGCACTTGGGTAGTTTCCACATCTTTGCAATTGTGAATTGTACTGCTATAAATATTAGGGTACATATGTATTTTTTAATAAAATGTCTTTTTTTCCTTTGGGTAAACACCCAGAAGTGGGATTGTTGGATCAAATGGTAGCTCTACATTGAGTTCTTTGAGGTATCTCCACACTACTTTCCATAGATGTTGTACTAGTTTGTAGTACCACCAGCAGTGTATGAGTATCCCTATCTCTCTGCATCCATGCCAGCATCTGTTGTTTGGGGACTTTTTAAAGTATAGTAGGTATAGTAGGTATAGTAGGTAAAGTAGGTAGAGTAGGTAGAGTAGGTGAACAACTTTTTAAAATAATTTTAATAACACCCCATGACACACACAGAGATGCTTTACCCTAGAGGAAATACCTGAAAATTGACCAATCAAATCAGGGCATGGTGATAAATGGACAATTTAGTAAAAACTGGCTACTATCAGAGGCAACAAGATCAATCTGAGAATTGTTTGGTAAAGTGCTGCATTATTGACCCTTGAAGACTCATGGGATGTGGCTGGCAGACATCTCTTATTTTTGCCTGCTTGGCATTGCTTCCCCCTTCTTCCCATAGAGTCCTTGGAGGAGCACTGTTCCCTGGCTCTCAGTCCACAGGGCTGGTTAAATAACAATCTGAGACTTTTGAATCTGAAAACTCATACCATATGGAACTTTTGAAGAATGTTTTTTTCCATTCTTATGATAATTACATACAAACTAAATACATATAAATGCAAGTTAAAACATATTCTGATCTTTGTACATTTATTAAACAATCTTTACTAGAGTGTTACAGTTGTTTCATTTTCAGAGAGAAAAGAGCCTGTGGCTTCTAAATTTTTTTAAGTTAAATATTTTTAATGCTTTGTCATGCTTCTAGAAATGCTTGATGTAAACATAACTTATCATAGTGCCTTCTCCAACTAATATTTCATATCATAGCTTAATAGCCGTATTCTAAGGAGACTTAAATTTAACATATTTCACTATCAAATAAAGTATAAAGATTAATGGCAAAGAAAAGGAATAACCTCATTTCAGTAAGGTTGTAGAGAAGCAGAAATATAAAAGACTACAATGGAGATGGTTATTTCAGCTTTTGAAAATTCTCTTTATCCAGTTGTCAGCATGTTATAAGCAAAAGGTATTCTTTCATGTATTAACATCTAACATTTCTTCTTTAGTTACAGCATTGTTTCATGTATTTATTTTTAGGGGAAGGCAGCAAATCAATGAATATTGGCTAAAAATATTGGCTTAGAAAAGTTAAAAATGCAGAACTTCAATCAAAATACAGTGAAACAGAAAGAAATTTATCTATGTTTAGAATGTCCAAGCTTGAGAATTCCATGAAGTTGGTAGGTATGGGTCAGTGTGCATGTCTGTGTGTGTGTGTGTGTGTTTAGGTATAGCTGACACCAATTTCTCAGATAAATCTCAACAAGCATGAATTCCTTCACCCACCTGACAGCTTTCTAACTTTCTCAGTTTTTCTGGAGTTAGTGCTACACTTGTATGAGGGTGTATCAAGAAAAAATGAGCCCAGGTCTGACATGAATCTCATAATTGATTCCTCATCCATGCTACCAATTAGTGTTTGTACCAAGTGACATATTTTTCCAAGAACCAAAAAGTTAAATTTGTGAGAGCCAAAGAAAGATGCCTTTCATCAAAACTGTCAATGTTCAAAAAATTCCTTGCAGAATATGTTAAAACAACATTAAGCTTGCATTTTATAAACTTCTGTGCATTTGCTTTAAGTGAATTTATATACTGAAAGAAAGACATAACTCACAATAATAGCTTGTTAATACTGAAAGAAGCAAGCTGTGTTTTTAAGAAGAACATTAAGCAGCTGTTTCCAGATGAAGGGAGTCTGTAAATCAGGGTAAATTGGTTTTATCCATGTTTGGTTTTCATTAATTAAGTGTTTTAGGGACTTTATGAACCTAATGTTTACTACACAACATTGCCTTGCACACTTCAGTGTGCACTGTCTTTAGCCAATATATACCAAGGATCTACTTAATAACTAACTAGTTTAACTTGATTTTGTACTGTTGAAATGCATTTTTTTTCCAGGAGGAAATTTGTTGTTACAGGTGGAAGCAAAATGAAAATGTTTAACATTACCTTAAAAAAAAAGGTGGGATTTTTATTGGATACGTGCTCTACAACCACTAACTTTTCGAGCTCATTTTGACAGGTGGTCATTTTCAAGTTAAGCCATATGCTTGTTACTAGTTTCATTAACGTTATGATTATAAGTAGGAGCATTTTCTTTTAAAGTTGTTTACAGTCAGAATCTGGCCAACAATCCATGGTTTTATATAATTTTAAAAATTAGTATTTTCTGAAGAATGAATAAAAAGATTTGTCTTAAGAAAAAAGTGAAATGATGATGATAACTTCAGGCTTCCAGTCATAGGTCTCAATGTGAATTAGAGCTCAGCCTCTTAAACCTTCTGAGTCTCAGTTTACTTAATTTGTTCATAGTATCCATATCTCAAGGGCACTGAAAGAATCAAAAGACACATATAAGTGAAAGCATTTTGCAAGCTTCAGAGATGCACAATGAAGAAGCATCCTTGTTAAGGAAGGAAGAGGCTAAATAAAAGGGCCCTCAAATTAGCATTTTCTCTAATCTGTTTCACTGGGATACTCAATATCTATCTTTTCAATTTATGAATGAAGCAAAACAAAACCAAACAAAAACTCCATCTAAAGTGAAAATTCTAAGTGAATTTTCTTTGGTGGGCTTAGGTACTAAGTAACTGATTTGGTTTTAACAGAGTTCTGAAATTCTAGTTTGTCAAAACATTCTTTTCAACTCCAGTGCAGTGATGCTTAGGGGCAAAGAGTATGTAATTCTTTCAGTATGTGAACAACAACAACAACAACAACAACAACAAGCAAACAAACAACCCCACTAGAATCATTATTTTTCAGTAAGTGATTTATTGCTATTTTCCATTATAAAACAGCAGGTTTATTTATTTTTTTTTTTTATCATTTTTGCCTCTCCTCATTACAAGAGAAGTCATTTATAGAAAGTAGTTGTTGCTAACTATTGTAGCTTCAGGCTTAGCCTGGGATGGAGGTAGTGAGGGGGACACATGAATGCCATGCCTTTGGTAATTAATCCTGACAAACTACTTTAGCTAGCCCCAAATTTATATACATGGGCTGGAGAATATATTTCTTCCCTCAAGCCCCAATACATCTGTAACTTATGTGCTAACAATGTAATTTAAATAACATATATGTTTAGCAAGTAAAAAATATTACATGAAAATAAAATAGTTACAATTTCTTTGGCAACAAGCCTCACCCCAAGTCTGACTTCATTTTACTAAATTGACTTCTGTCAAATATATACTTATGTCATGTGTAATTACAAACTCAGGGATAACAATATGCTGTTATATTAAATGAATCCCTTCTTTTTTCAAAAAAAATTTAAAAAATATGAAAACAACTGATTTTATTATTCAACAGTCTGTTGTTGAAAGGGTACTTCATACTAGACACTGTGCTCTGGAAAAACAGAAATGAAAAAAAGGGACTGCAGACTCACAGAAGTTACAGCCCATGAGGGAGATAGCGATGCAAACTAGTAATGACAAGCTTCTTGGGATATAGAGATGAATATGACAAGGTCCCCATCTTGGAAGAACTCCCTGTCTACTGTCATGCAATTTTGATCTAATGTGATTTACTCTTTTAAACTCAGTGACTTTTAAAGTGATTAACTTCATAAACATAATGACTTTGATTTTTACCCAAATAATTCCCACATTTAGAACCAGCATAAAAGAAGCCCCCTCAAAACTCCCAACAGAGCGGAAAAGACTGTTTCAATTGAGAATGAGGAAAATTCTGCTATGAAAAAATCAAGTATTTCCTTGGCTTTGTTAGTTTTGTACCAAGTCAAAGCTACTGAAAGATGGAAGAGGAATGGCAGATAATACCCCTTACTGTGCCTTTGGAAAAATGATGAGGTAATTATGTTCCCTTCATGGAAATGGAAGAATAGAAACCATTATATGCAGAAAATTGAATAAGTCTATGATAAACTATATCAAGAATGGAATTAGAAACACAGTAATCCTAAATAATCATAATTGCTGTTAAAACATTATAAACTTAGTCTTATTTTTTTTAATGTATTACCCACTTTTGTACTCTCAACCAAAACTTTGACTGATGATGTGGTCTGGTTTAAGAAGCAACAAAATTCTCCACCTGGGATTTTATGTTGAAATCCTGCCATTAAAAGCTATTCCTTATGGTTAAATATTTATCTATAGCTTTTCTTTAGATAAACAACAACAAAGGAGATTTAAGTCAGAAAATTCTAATCCTGTCCTTATTAACAAATAGACATGGGATATTGGGAACATTGTTCAACCTGTCTGCATTGATTTCCTTGATAAAAGTATAGAATTGGACTAAATAGCCTTAAATGTTATTTTAGGTTTTCCTAAACAATAATGCCTTCATATTTCCTCATATGGATGTAGATAAGTGATGATGTATTTTTTAGTGCCTAAGGATAGAGTTAATAATGTGATTGAAATTTCTGTCTATAGTATATATTTATGTATGTTATGGCACTTATCCCTGTCCATGTCTCTTTTAACTAGATTTGTATCTCTTTCTATAATGCTCCCACATCTATAGAATATAATGAATTGTCAAAAGATGCTTCTTGAAGTGGATTTGTTCAATGGGGTTATTATCGAAAGGACATCAGAATAAATTTCTTCATTGTGTTTTATACTTCAAATATAACTACTCAAGAACCAATAGAACATAACCTCTTTTTATTGAAACCTCTTTTATTTAGAGAGTTGATTAGAATTTGTGAAATAGTTGTTTTCCTAAAGTAACTTGGACTTCAAGGGGGAAAAATACAACTTTTTGATTATAGTTCTACTTATGCTTACATAGCAGCAAAATAACAATAATAGAGATATAATTATATTAATAAACACATTCTAAATAAACAATATTATAAATAGAAAAAATTTCAGCTATCTCTAATCAAATGTTCATTACTTATATAAGTTCTGCCTCATAAATAGAAGGCTTCAAGTAAATGTGCTTTTCCATCATCTTGATATATTTCCTTATAAATTTTCAGAAGTTATATTGGAGAGAACTTGTGCATAAATGAGAAGTTAGCACTATCTGATCTGTATTAGGCACAGAGAAGAACATTATCTGACTCCTCTCAAAGCATAAACATACACACACACATACAAGTATTAGTATTCTTTATCACTATTTTATGCTATTTGTTGTTTTTTCTGCAGTGGCTACCATCTGATCAACAGTTTGCATTTTGAAATAACAGTGGGTATTAGGACACATTTAATAGTGCACAGTATTAGAATATTGTTCACATACATTAAAATATTAATTTATTTTCTAACACCCACTAATTTTGGACTACTTATGTCAAATAAAAAGATGAACATCATTACTCACTTAAGAAATGAAAATTAAAACCACAATGATATATCACTACACAGCTACTAGAATGGCTATAGCCAAAAAGAGAGATAATCATAAATGTTGACAAAGATGTGAGAAAAAATGGCAAGGATTTTGAAGAAATGGGAACATTAAAACATTGCTAGTGAGAATACAGAATAGTACAACCACTTTAGGAAACATTTTGCTAATTCATCAAAATGTTAAGTGGAGTGTTACCAATATTACTCAACAAATTTCTAGGTGTATATCAAGAGAAATGAAAACATATGTCCACATGAAGACCTGTATACAAATGTTTATGGTAGCATTATTCATAGTAGCCAAAAATGGAAACAATCCAGAAATCCAACAACTGATGAAGGGATAAACAGAATGTGATATATTCATACAACGGCATACTATTCAGCAATAAAAAGAAACAAAGTCCTGATTCATGCTACAACATGGATGAACCTCACAAACATTATGCCACGTGAGAGAAGCCAAACACAAAAGACCATATATTGCATGATTCTGTTCACATGAAAAGTCCAGAATTAGGCAAATCTATACAGACATAGAGTAGATTCATGGTTGCACAGGGCTAAGGTAGGAGAAAATGGGGGAACAACTACTAATGAGCATAGAGTTTCATTTTGAGATTATAAATGTTCTAAAATTAGATTTTAGTGGTGATTTCAAAACTCTCTAAATATACTAAAAAAATTGGAGGTGTGCACTTTAACTATGATATATTAATTATATTTCAATAAAGCTGTTAGAAAATTCAGAAGACAACATGTCATGTTTATATCACAATTTTTACTATGTTTATTCCATTTATTTTGTAATTTATTGAATATTTTCCTTTACTCTGATTGATTACACCTTGATTTTTAAATGGGGAGGGTTTTTATTATTATTTTTTGGTTTATTCATTAGCATTTTCTTTTTTGTTGTTGTTGTTTTTTTTTCCTTAAAGGAATAGATTGCCATTGACATAGCCTTTGAAAACTTACCGTCCATGTGACCTGAACAGTGGTGGGAGTCAACACAACTGGAGTGTGAAGACGGACAATGACATCCCCTAGTTCCTTCTGCACTTGTCTGTGGTCCACTCCTTGTGCTGGTGGGCTGATATCTGCAGTTAGATAAGATAGTCATTCCCTATTTTTTAAAAAGTGTAGTAAAAATTCTATTTATTTCATATAAGGCAGTATTACACCTTTAGAACTAGTTACAGGGGAAAAAATGAAAACTCCTTTGTGACAAAAAGCATTTAAGCTTATATACATAAATACCACAATGGTAGGGCACAATCTGAGAGATAATATTTATCTTTCCTAAAAACATATTAATAAATGAATGTTTATAATCTGTCATTCAAATAGAGACATTGTTGTATAAGATTACTTATTTTCTTATTAAAGCATAAACTATGTGCTCTAAGATTTCTCTAGAAAGGTCAGCTAGCTATAGATGTTGGTATAGTGAAGGATTTTCCTAAGTAGTAAATTAGGACACATCTGAAAATTTCTGTTTATTAATTTGCTGAATCCCTTGTCCCAATGAGTAGGTTGTGCTTTCTTACTTCTTGACCTACTTCAATCTGGGAGGATAGAAGGGAAGGAATAGTGGACTGGGAGGTGAATTATGTCATGAAAAGTAAACACTGTGAAAGGGGAGAGAGGAAGGAACTCCCGAAATTTTCAAAAATACTTTTGACAGAAAAATTTAGAATGCTCATAACATGCCCTAAAGTAATAAATTTTGAGCAATACTGCAATATCTGACAAGAGGTCATGCAGCTGCTTTTTAGGAGTGGTGGAGGAGAGGAGGAAGAAAGAATGGTGGTGTTTAAAATGTTATATCTTCAGTCATACATTGTTATGCCTCCTTCTTCATAAGTCACCTAAATACTACTCTATGGCCCCATATATTCTCTGTCCATTAATAAAAATGATGAATTATAGATATCTAAGTCCATCTGATTGATTTCAAACACTAAATTTCACACATAGGCAAATCAACTTCTTTAACTGGTGCACTTTAATGTTAAGTTGAATTTTTTTTCTCCAACTACTTTATTTAAGGAAGGAAGTCCAATTTAAAATGATTTATTTTCTTAATCTGTTTTCTCCTACTTTCTCAGGCCACAGTGCAGCACTCCGCAAAAGTATTTTTAAGTTCATATCTCCACTCTAACTTAAATCTGACACTATCTTAAATTGGGATATAAATGATTGGGAACCACACTTTGGTGACTTTTTTCCCAGTTCCACTTTTTTCATCCTTAACATAAACAGCGAAGTGAAGTTTTACTTGATTTGAAAAAAAAGTCACTTTATGTGAATAATATTAACCTTGTTGATATATGTGTCATCTATTTTGATGTTGGTAGTACAAGCATTTTTCGCTTTAATGAAATACAAGATTTCTAGATTCTGTGGCATTTCATACCTTTGAAAAATAAGAGCTCACAAAGTGAAGTGCTCTTTGAAAAAAACGTGCTTTGCAGAATACAAAGCTACTGAAAGTGTAGTATCAAAAAATAACCCTGACATTCAGACACAACCCATGAGTTTTCCTATTAAATATCTGTTAAGAGAACATAAGTCTTTTGCTCTATATAGTCTTTCAACTGGAACAAACCAGATCACAAACAACTTTTCATTAATCTTTTTTGACCTTTTCACCAAGAGTTATTTTATGAGTCAAGATTTAGTGACTGGCATAGTTATTGAATGATCAAGAATGTCTGCCAGATGTAATCATGCCAAAATTCTTCCCATTCTGTTTCTCTACCTCACATTGCAGCTACACACAAAAACTATTTCTATCCACACAGGTATAAATGGTCTAAATGCTCTAGTGTCTTAACTTAAAAATTGTGGACCTCTTCCATTTCAAATTCAAGAATTTAATTTGCTCATTAAATTCAAATACACTAAAAACAACTGGAGCTAGGTAAGGTAAAATATAACTAGTTTCAGATCTTCAAATTCTTTGTTGTGCTTTTTATTTCTCCTGAGACAGGTTCTTTACCTACAGGCCCTTTATCATTGTGGAAAATTAATCACATTACTGCTTTGAGAACAATAGCAACGTGGCATTCCACCCTCCCTTGACTGTCATCATGTCAGCAATGTTACAAAGTCACGTGGTGACTTTATTTCACTTGATTTTTTTAAGGCACCCTTCTCTGTTATAATAGCATGCTAGTTACTATCATTGAACTACATTGTAATTATAATAATATTTTATGGCTGTATGGTGCTTTTCATTGCATAAAAATACTACATTAAATTATATCTTGTTCAAAGGCTTTTACAAATAAGAAATAATTAACCCTTTCTGAAGAACCCTGTGGGAAGTAGGTTATCACAAATAATAAAACTACCATTTCTATTTTGTTAATTCTCTTCATCTACTCGTAGGAGGGAGACTATAATGTAGCATTGCACATTAAACCTCAGACTCCCTTGACTTCTTAGTTTGAGGAGAGAGATTACTTAAGGAAGAAATAATGAAATCTTACATTTTGAAATTATATTTTAAGATTCTGAGTTTTTTTAATTAGTCAAATAATTACATTCCTCAGAAAAAAAAACACTTGATTTCCTGCTTTCTGAAATAAATTATTCTAAACATCTGATTTAATAAAATACATTTTAGTAGTGGTTGTAAAACTTACACACCAGCATTACAGGGAGGTTTTGTTTAAAAAGACACTGGGCCCCAACCCCAGACCTTTTGAGCTGGAACCTGAAAATCTATTTCTAAGAGTCCCAGATGCTGCAGATGCTCCTTACCAGGGAACCACACTTTGAGAACCACCCCACTATAGAAAGAGAATTCATGAACAATAGGAAATAATTTTGATATCCTTATCTGGGCATCAATTCATTAAAGAATGCTTTTTTTTTTTTTTGCTATTATATAATTAATTTCTGAAAGGAAAAACATTTTTCCTCCCTTTGAAATGTAGTGAAGCCTTAAGTTAGAGGATTCATTCTTACTATATAGATGTACCCAATTATTTTGTTCATTTCTAACTAAGTAGACCCTGAAAGTTCCAGAAATAAGACACATCTCACCAAGGTGAATAATAAGCTTTCTTCTTCACTTGCTAAAGTCTAGCACATCATTATAAAGAGCAAGGCAGACACATTTATTTTTCCTCATGCAATCTCCTTGTTCTAAAGTATCTGTTTGACATTTCCTTATAGAACCAGTCACATTTACAGCTGTTGAAATTACCTTGTGTGCGCACAGGATCTGACATAGGGCTTGGGTCACTGAGACCTTGGGGGTTGATTGCTCTGACCATGAACAAGTAGACTGTATTGGGCCGCAGTCCTCTCACAGTATAGAGGGTGGACTTTACATGGTTTGCCACTGTCTGCCAGCTATTGCTTACTGATTGGCTGAAAAACGAACAGAAAGTTCATTTAAAGAACAGGCCTAAGAGTATTAGAAATGGAATTGGGTTTCAATGACAAAGGTTAATGGCTGAAAATTAAACACACACACACACACACAACACTTGAAGTGTTCAGCCCAATAAATGAAACATTTGGATGATTTCAGTTTATTCAACAACAAAGCCGAGCCCACCTAACGAAAGTGCCATGCACAACAAAATTAAACTCAGCCCAGGAGATATGACAGCCCTTTGCTAATGCACAGCAGCCCACTAAATGAATACCTGTAAAAGGAACAGAGGCCAAGATCACAACATCAAGTATATACAATAAGTATGGTCCTCGTAAATGCATATATATATATACCTTGAAAAGAATTAACCTGTAGAAAGAATAAATGGACTACAGAGTAAATTATGCCAATACATTTTCCTGTTACAAGGTGTGTTTTCTTTTGCATCAATTCCACATGCAATATTATAATAGAGCCTTCTAAAACTACATATCTGTAAAAGAAGAAAGGAAGCATGTAATGAATATTTTCCCTTGGTTACATCTTTAATAAAATTGTACATTACACAGTATTGTGACTTCTTATCTTGGAATAGTGAAATATCTCTGAATCTGCATGTGAAGACCCTTTACAGCTGGCCACAGATGGATGCCATCTTAGAACATTTTGTCTAAATTCAGATGCTATTTTTGCTCAGAAGGAACAGAAGATGTGATTTTTCAGGGTGATCTGCTTATTTTTAAGATATGCTTTTGTACCAAAGCATAAAAATTACAGAAAAATAATATTTTGAAATTTAAATACTAAGTATCTATTATTACTTTAAATATAGATTAAAGAAGCCTAAAACGAAAATGGTCATTTGTACTAATGTTTACAAAAAATAGTGACTATCCTTTAAATTTTACAATGTCAAATAGAAGTACATTGAAATGGAATATGAATGTACATTTTCCCATATGTATAATTATTTTATCAAATTCCCATAATTTTATAATGATATTTATAGACTGTATCTTTAAGTTGATGACAATTATTTCAAATAATGAAATGAAATAATGAAAATATCTTTTTCTTTCAGTAACTAGAAGCATATGGAATAAATTTCTTAATTGTGGTTTTTAATTTTCTCTTAAGCATATTCAATAGCTGTATTTAAATATATGGCATTTAAAAACTTGGAATTATTTTAAGTTCTGCTCTGTTATTAAAGCTAAAGATTTCAGAGTCCCATGTATCACTAAATGTTATATAACTTTAAAAAGTGCCTGCACCTAATTAAATCATTTTCTGCTTAGTTCTAATGCCCAAATTATCATCTTAAATCCCTACAAAGGTCAGGGTAAAAAAAAAAAAAAAAGGAGCTAAGTGATTATGTCATGAACTAGATCACTGTAGACCTAGGTATAGATAAAGCATATTTAATCTTATAATTAAGTTATAAACAAAAATGTAGTCTGTTCTCAAATATAGTAAGAGAGAAAAGATCAATTCTTAAAAGGCATTGATTGAAAATGTCCTTAAAATATAACAGCAGGATAGCTCAGGTGATATTTTAGAATATAGGTGCTAAAGCAAAAACCCAATGGGGAAAAAAGGAATTGGCCCATACCTGAAAGCCTCAATGATATATGCACTTGCTGGAAGAGTTCCAGGGGTACCTGGTTGCCAAGACAAGGTGACACTGTTCTTAGTAACATCAGTGACCTGCGGTTTGGATGGTGGCCCTGGCAGGTCACTTAAATCATAATTTTTACTGATTGTTGCTCCAGACTCTATGGAGGAGAGACAGAAAAAACTTCATTCCTGATTGCGTAAGCTGACAATAATACTTGAAAGAAAGAAACAGTCTATTAAAGGAGTTAACCTTGGCTATAAGTAATTCATCTCCATGAATCTGCTATATGTCAGTGAATACTTACTTCTCCTACATGTTAACAAGTATAAGATTTACTTTTACACATGATCGCTAGAATTGCTTGTGCTTTAGAGGAAGTAAAATAACAAGATCATCCAGGACAAATGAATTTCACAAATGCAATTCTATTTGCAAACTCATGCATGAATTAAAAACTGGCACTGAATGTAAAGACTTAAATGGACATTCAATGAATTAAAAACCTTAATCTCTCCTTAACTTATTTGATAATGATGTAGCACTAAAAGGGGCTCAAGATTTCTGCTATTAAGATAATTTGCAAAGAACTCACCTGTCACATCCAGCACTGCACTCCAGGAAGTCTCCCCACTTGAACTTGTAGCCACACAAGTATAGGTGCCAGTATCAGAAATCTAGCATGCATAGAAGTGAGTGAATTATTGTTGTAATCTATTTGTAGAATAATTACTCAATGTCAATGAGGAAATATTTAATTTATTAAAATGAGTTGTATCATTTGGTGGCCCAAATTATACATTAGAGTCAATCATATATATATAAAATGATAAAATAAACTCAATAATGTTATTCATAACATTGCTTCAAAAGGGTTTTTTAAGTTTCTACAAGTAAATATTATTTATCTGATAAACTCTATTTGCCCTCTCTTTTTTTGGGGTAATATTCTTATCTTTTAATTCTACTTTATGGTAGGGCTTTACTATATCAGAGTTAGATGTGGACAACTCAATAAAGAATTTATTCAGATTTCGATGAACTCTCAGAGAATCAGTAATGCAAAACTATTCTTTTTGTCTCAAATAAAACATGTTTCAATGAATAAAATGTACCCAAGAATAAATAAGCAATGAGATAACAGGAGGCCACACTTCCTTTCTTTTGAAAGACTTAGAAAAAAGTGAAAATATTTTTTTTTAAAGGGAACTAAATTTTTCCTTTAAAAAGGTCATTATTCACTTATAGGTAAATTGCAACAGTGAAACAGTGAATAAAATAAAGTATCACTAAAAAACAAACAAACTATGGCTACAGAGTCACAGCAATGTCAAGCTGAAAGGGACCATAAAAATAATCCAATACATAACTCTCTTTTAAAGCATACTTAAAAACGTGCCATTTTATTGAACATTTGAAATGTTTCCTTATTCATTGAAGAGTGGCAAAAGACTTTTAGAAAGAGTTGATGATATAATCTAGAGTTCTCTGTTACGGATATAAAAGGCAGAAGATTCTGTGATTGTACCGTAAAATGCACCCCAAGATCAATAAAAGAAACAACTCAAAACTCCTCTCTATGACTGAGCTTTGTGGGCTTAGATTGCAAGCAACATTCATTGGCATTAGTTTGGGGTGAAGGAAAAGTGGCATTGGGAAAAGAAACCGATAACCAAACAAAACAGGCAAGGCAAAGGTGTAAAATTAAAACTCTGTGATGAACGTGAGTCTAATTTTTGATGAAATATGGAAGTTCATAGAATATTATATCTGCTGGGTTCAAAATGTAAGTGTATTGATGACTCAAGCTTTCATGGCTGATCTCAGGTAAATCATTAGTGCATGGATGTTACTGTCATTTCACTATCTTAATTGATTTTAAATGCTGGTATGTATTTTAACTTAAGTTTCAAATTGCTCTGGCATGTCATTCTTTGCCAGATTATCTCTATACAATTGTCTTCTATTACACAGAGGGATGATGGGGATAGCCATTGTGGAAAGAGCCATTCTTTCAAATGTGGCTGTGCATGCATTAGAGTCATTAGAAATCTTTGCATTTAAGAAGCATCACTCACAAACTAAATATAATGAGCCGAGGTTGGATTTTAATGGGGTGTTCATTTGAATATGGTCTGTGAAAGAGTAAAAGAATTTGCATTTTATTATAGCTGTTGAACTAAAATGTAGCACTTGTTATTACTTGCAAATGCTAAAAGAAGTGTATGTAGGTAATGCTTCTTAACTACATCTCCTTGTCATTGTGTGGAGATACAAGTCTGACATTAGCTGTGGTAGGTATGTTTTAATGAGTATTGGAATATTCTACTTCTTAAAAGATACAGATTCAGTTACCAATTAGCAGGACTATGAGGACACAGTATTCATCATGTTATTTTTCCCTATTGCATTAGGTACTGAAAAAGAATAGTAAGACACAAAGGAATCTGACCTACAGAAACCCTCTCTTGACTGCACAAGTGAAGTACTGTAAAGCCTAATTTTTACCCCTCTATAAAGATGGTCATCTTACAGAAAAAGAGCAATGTTTTCATCTTGAAGTTTATAAAAAATGATATCAAAAAACAAAACATAATTGATAAAACTCATTCCTTTATCATCGTTCATAATTGCCACATTTCTTTTTATCCCTTTAACTTTAAATGATGTCTTTTCTAGTCAGTAGTGCTTCGTATCTGTTCCAGCCTTGTCCTTTTATCCTTAATCAATTGCTTTAAAAAGAGATTAATGTGCTACCAAACTCTATCACCTACTTTTCTCCTTGTGCAGTTGGCTGCAGACAAGCCCCTAGGAGCTGGCATCTCAGAGACACTACTCAGAAGCCTGTCAGAGGGCTCAAAGTTTGTCTGACATCATCAAACACCCACCTTTAATTGCTTCTTTCAAACACTACTAGAAATCTTGACTACTCAAGCATACATTTTAATTCAGTGATACAGTGAAAATGCATTAACCTCCATGGCCCAAGTCTGCCTTTGGCCCAAAGATAGAGGTTAAAGTGTTTACACAAAGAGAGTTAGCATTAATTTTTTAATAACTTCCATTTTGTTCAAAGAAGGTTAATGATTTATAATCAATAAAAACAAGCTAAATATATCTGTATTAATTTACTTTTAACTGAACTTGGCAAGATTATTTCTAGAGCAATAATTAATGCCTATGTCTCAAAATTAAAGTTAATTATATATAAATTATATTAATAAGTTAAAATTTATTCATGTATGTGTTTTTGTGCATGCAGCAAAAATAGAGTCATTCTTCCCTTTGTCATATAAATCTGTATGGTATAATAATGAACAACCAGATAAACATGCAATTGTAAATATGTTCCCATTATAAGAAAAGAATCCTCCAAATTATAACCATTTCAAAATATATGTAGTGAAAAATTTTTACCTTCTTTCTTGGCTTCAGAATGGAAAATTCTACAACATTGTTTTGTTTTGTTTTGTTTTGTTCTATCTTGGCTCCCAATTTCTACCTGGACAATAGATTCTACTAAATTGTTCCTCCACCAAATCATGTTCAGTCGATTTTTCTTCATGCATTGTTACATCAGCTATGTTAGTTCTGGTTTTCATCTGCAATCTGTGATCACTATAATATACTCTCTAGCTTTAGCATAACATGTGCTACATGGAGGATGAGCAGAAGAATTTACATTGTTGAATCCATTGAATATACTGATAGAGGACAGGTGGCCTCCATGATAACAACCTTCCGGTATTTACACTTTGTGTAACCCTTCACCTGGAGTGTGGGTGGGACCTGTTGATTTGATTCTAGCTAATAGAATATCACAAGAGTCTCACAATGTCATGTTTGTGATTTGTTATGTAGATTGTAATGCCCATCTTACTGGAAAACTCTTTTCCTTGCTAACTTGGATGAAACAAGTAATCATATTGGGAAGATACACATGGCAAAGGACTAAAGGTAGCCTCCAGTCAACAGTCAGCAAGAAGCTGAAGTTGTTAGTTGAGTAGCCACAAGGAACTAAATGATACCAACAATAATGCCGATTAGAAGCAAATCTACCCTCAGTCAATCTTCAGATGAGACCACAACCCTAATCAATACTCAAATGCATCTTTATGAAACCTTCAAGCAGAAGACCCGGCTAAGTTATGCACAGGCTCTTAACTCACAGAAACTGTGATACAATAAATATGTGTTGATTTAAGCTTCTATGGTTATACTAATATTTTTATATATAATAGGTAACTCATATAATATTGATAACTTCATATTTTATTTTGAGTTGCTCCTAAAGCAGGTCTGAATTGTTAAGTTGCTAGAAATGGTCATTCTTTGTCATGCAAACTTCATTTTATAAACTGCCAATGGCTTGTTCTTGTCCATGGGTTTAAATCTAAACTGCACAGCAACTTACTCTAAAATACAAGGTTTTCCACCAACTAGCCAAATCTGCTTCCTATGTACTTAGTCTCATATCTTTATTTTTTCCACTCAACTGTTTGGCCAAGCCATTTTATCTACATTTCCCACAATCTTCCTTTGCTAATAAGAGTAAATCATCACCTTCAAATTATTTTAAGTATCTTATTATTACTAGCTTTATCTGTTTAAGATTTCTAGTTTCACAGCATATATACATGATGGGATACAGGAATAAAAGTTTCAAGGTCTGTTATGAATTTATGAGTAGCAGCAAAACAAAGACCTTCCCTCTACTTCTGGCTTATCATTTTTAAAACAAGAAGTAACAAAAATTATTTTAAAATGTATAGCAATTGTGCTGGGATGTAGGATTTTAAGTTCACCACACAGTTTTTCCCTAGAGCAGTACTTATATTGAGATGATGACTCAAGTACAAGTCAAATGGTACTTACCCTTAAATTCTTAATCTGCAGTGTTCCTTGCTCTTGTATAGTTGCTCTCGGATCTCTACCCAGAAAAGTAAATCCCTCTTTTAACCAGCTAATTACAGGAAGAGGATCACCAGTAGCTTTGCATTTTAGTAACGCTGTACCATCTACTGCTAGTGTTTGATTGGCTGGTCCTTGTAGAATTATGGGTGGAGGTCTATCTGTCAAAACTGAAAAATAAAGATCTTTTCAGAATATTTTAACTTCTGTGAAATCCAGTAGTCTTAATATATTGTCATGGAAAGTAAGGTTAAAACTCCAAAGCAATACTTATAACTTATTCTGGCTATATTAAATCTATCATATATTTGTTATCCTATACATACTATTCATATATCCATATACACTAAAGCCATACTATTGTTGATAACTTACTTTGCATTAGTTATATTTAAAATGATGTTGGGATAAATTCTGACATTTTAGAATTTAGTTTTTAATTGTATTGATAGGCTTAGTCATATTAAAATGAAAATGAAAATACGGATAGCTTATGGCAGTCATTCATAAAATATTCAATTTATTTCTCATATTCATATTTAAGAAATCCTGCACAGCATCATATGGGTAGTCAATTTTTACTGTTGCATTTATTATGAATATATGCATAGTACATAATTTTATCCATCATGGCACCAGTTATGTGCTATATTTACATAGGTCAAAATGTCTACTGATACTAAAATATTAGATTATAAATAATTTACTTCCAAAATTGTGACACTGCGTCTCCAAATTACAGTCATATCAGTTGCATGATTTGATTTAATTAGTGCTTATAATTAAGCAACAAAAGCAATCTAGGTAAACTATATTTATAGTATAACAGAGTATTCATGCAAAATCAATGTTTACATATATACCATATGACCATTATTTAAATGGCTAAGTGACATAGGGATTTAATTGGAGTTAAGATTTCATTTAGAATTCATTCCAAGATCACTTTATAATCAAATGGTTATATCCAGGTCCAAGGAAGGCTTTGCTTTCTTGAGAGAAAGTTCCATAAACTTCAGCATAGACAGCATAGACTTTGGTTTCTGATCTAAAATATACTTTTTATCATATATATTTATATGTAATATACAAAACATATTATATATAATATAAACACATAAAGGCATACGTGACTTCCACAGGGAAAAAAATAATGGTGGATTCTAATTGGGAAGCAACTGTGAAAGAAATAGTCTTTGATCAAAAAGGTCATCTTGTATTACATTGTACATAATAAAAAAAACATTTGCTTGATGCTCAAATCTCTTTTGACCACCAGCTTTTATAAATACCAGCTTGTTTTACTATCTATTTCCCAATCTATATGCATCATCTTTATTACTAGAGCTTACAGTTTTCAGGAAGAAAACATTAAATTAAGTAGGCCTTTCAAAACCTACCACGAAAAAGCCAGCCAATTTTGTTAAAATTAGAATTTATGAAATAGGCCCCTTACATATCAAAATACTGTGGATTTCAATTAATCTAATCATACTACATCAGTGACAAAAACCTAAGGAAAACAGTAAAAAATTATTTATTGTTTACAAACAAAAATTAGAAGCATTTATTTCAATGGTTTTCTTCATCAAATATGTCATTTTAGAAATAAAATAATCTTAGGAGAATTGGGGATTGCAATATTATAACTATTCTGACTGATTGAGCAAATAGAAATTCAAACTTTATGGCTCATGGGTCAAAAATAGGTAAATGCACAAAACATTATGAATAATTTTTCAATTCAGTCGGAAAGTGAGTCTGAGTCTGTATTACCAGAGGAGAATGTATATATTAAATTTTAAATGATGCTATGCTTTTGCTTCAGATTAAATATACCTGTGTAGAATTCAGGTAACTTCTTATAACCTGCCTTTATTGTCATATCCCTGAAATCATTAGATGCAGCCAAAGGTCATCTAATTCATTGTTTTTGTTTTTGTTTTAGTTTTTTTGCTACTTAAATGAATAGCTCATCACCTTTTGAATGAATTTGATCAATAAAGTAATTGTAAATCTCCTGGCCAGTAGGAATTTTCAGTTTCAAGGATGTTATGAGTAAAAGATGACCACAGGTTCCTATGACATTAATGTCAAAGGTTAAATGAACATTTAGGAATTCCAGTGATCTGTGAACAACTTCATGGTGTTCTCTAACTATGCATTATAAATCCTCAATAAACCATTTATATAAGATCATGATGTGGCATTTATTGTCAATATAAGATAAAAATACATTTCATCTCTCCAGTCTTTTTAGATTCTGTTTGTTCCACTCATAGTAATCTCATTATGATTTTCTAATTTTCTAAGCAATAAAGGTACAGCAGAAGAAGAGAAAAAGAAAGAACAGTGGCAATGTAATAATAAAAATGTCTTTTAAAGAAATATTTTGAAACTCATGTATATTGGAACATCTTAGTGTAATATATCATCAGTAAAATTATCACACAGTATACCATCTTTCATTACCATTAGCAATTTCATTTTATATGAACACTTGAATTAAAAATATTTTTAGAAAATGAGTCCAAGTACAAAAATGTAACAATAGAAACATTGATATAGATGGAATTCAGGTATATTTTGAAGATATTTCAGGTTTGGTTCAAGACCATTAAAATAAAGCAAATATTAAAAAAAATGAGTGATACAAATTTTGGGGGTTCCCAGAGCATATAAAACTTATGTTTATACTATGCTGTGATCTATTAATGTACAATAGCATCATGTCTAAAAAAACAACATACATACCTTAATTTGCAAGTATTTTATTGCCAAAAAATGATAATGATAATGTAAGCCTTCACCAAGTTCTAATTTTTTTGCTGATGTCAGGTCTTGTCTTGATGTTGATGGCTGCTGTCTGATCAGGGCAGTGTGGCTGAAGGTTGTTGTGACTGTGATAATTTCTTAAAACAAGACAACTGTAAAGCTTACCACATCAATTGACACTTCTTTCACAAAAGATTTCTCTGTAGCAAGCAGTGCTTTTTGATAGTATTTTACACACAGAACTTCTTTTAACATCGTTGTTGCTTTATCAACTAAGTTTATGTAATATTCTAAATGTTTTACTGTCCTTTCAACATTCATGACATCTTCACCAGGAGCACATTCTATCTCAAGAAACCACTCTCTTTGCTCACCCATAAGAAGCAACTTTTCCATCCATCCAAGGTTTTATCATAAGATTGCAACAATTCAGTCGGATCTTGAGGCTCCAATTCTAATTCTAGTCCTTTTCCTTTTTCTACTACATACATGGTTGTTTTCTCCTTTGAAGTTTTGAACCCTACAAAGTCATCCATGAGGGTTGGAATCAACTTCTTCCAAACTCTTGTTAATGTTGATATTTTGACCTCTTCTCGTGAATCGTGAACATTCTTAATAGTATCTAGAATGGTGAATCCATTCCAGATGGTTTTCAATTTACTTTTCCCAGATTTATCAGGGGAATCACTATCTATGGCAGCTTTAGCCTTATAAAATGTATTTTTTAAATAATAATACTTGAAAGTCAAAATTATTCCTTGATCCATGGGTTGCAGATGGATGTTGGGTTAAGAGGTATGAAAACATTAATTTCTTTGTACATCTCCATTAGAGCTCTTGGGTGATCAGGTGCATTGTCAAGGAGCAGCAATATTTTGAAATAAATCTTTTCTTCTGAGCAATAGGTCTTAACAGTGGACTTGAAATATTCAGTAAACCATGCTATAAACAGTTATGCTGTCGTTTAGGCATTGTTGTTCCATTTATAGAGCACAGGCAGAGTAGATTTAGCACAATTGTGAAGAGCCCTAGAATTTTTAGAATGATAAATGAGCATTGGCTTCAACTTAAAGTCACCTCTATCTAACAAGAGAGTCATCCCTGACTTTTGAAACTTTGAAGCCAGGCACTGACTTCTCTTTAGCTATGAAAGTCATAGATGGAGTCTTCTTCCAAAATAAGGCTGCTTTGCCTACATTGAAAATCTGTTATTTAGTGCAGCCACCCTCATCAATGGTCTTAGCTAGATCTTCTGGATAAATTGCTGCAGTTCCTATACCAGACCTTGATGTCTTACCTTACCCTTTTATGTATGAAGATGGCCCCTTTCCTTAAACCTTATGAGCTAACCTTTGTTAGCTTCAAACATTTCTTCTGCAGCTTCCTCACCTCTCTCAGCCTTCATAGAATTGAAAAGAGTTAGGGCCATATTCTGGGTGAGGCTTTGGCTTAAAGGACTGTTGTGACTAGTTGATCTCCTATCCAGACCATTAAAACTTTCTCCATATCAGCACTAAATCTGTTTCACTTTCTTATCATTTATGTTTTCACTGGAGTAGCACTTTTAACTTTCTAAAGACCATTCCTTTGTATTCACAACTTGGCTAACTGCTTGGCGCAAGGGGCCTAGCTTTTGGCCTATTTCAGCTTTTCAGGTGCCTTCCTCACTAATCTCAGTCAATTATAGCTTAAGATTTAAAGTGAGAGTCATACTTGAACACTTAGGGGTCATCATTAGGTTATTAATTGGCCTAAATTCAATATTGTTGTGTCTAAGGAAATAGGGGGGTCCAAAGAGAGAGAGAGAGAGAGATGGGGGAAGGGCCAATCAGTGGAGAAGTCAGAACACACAACGTTTACTGATTAAGTTCACTGTCTTATATGGGTGTAGTTTGGGGCACCCCAAAACAATTTCAGTGATAACATTAAAAATCATTGATCACAGGGCACCATAACACATAAAATGATCATTAAATAGCTGGAAGTATTATGAGAATGACCAAAATGTAACATAGAGACCTGAAATGAGCACGTGCAGTTGGAAAAATGGCACTGATAAACTTCCTTACACAGGGTTGCCACAAACGTTCAAGTTTTCACAAAAACGTGGTTATTTGCAAAGCACAATAAAGCTAAATGCAATAAAACAAGGTATGCCTCTGATTATTTGTTTCTATGAACATATGTTCTCATTCTACAATGGAATTGCAATTGGCTCTGAAATGTCCTATATCATACTACAATATATATGTTCAAAATGAAAATAATATTTCACATATTGTCAATAACCAATCTGAAAAATCAAAATTATGAATAGAAGCTAAGTCATCAGGCAATATGTTGCAATGTAATATTTAGAGACAGTTATTTACAATATGTGTGTGTATATATGTGTGTGTGTCATTAAATATGAAAGGTTTCATTTTGAATCAAAAGTGTAGTTTATTATATCTCAAACAAAAAGCAATACAATTAATCAAAATATACACCTAAACTATCAACAGTTATGTCATTTATATATATATATATTTTTTATTTCAGCATATTATGGGGGTACAAATGTTATTACATATATTGCCCTTGTCCCCCTTACCCTTCGAGTCAGAGCTTCAAGCATGTCCATCACCCAGTTGGTGTGCATCACACTCATTATGTATCCCCTACCCCCGCCCCCCGCCCAACACCCTATAAATGTTATTCTTATATGTCCACTTAGTGTTGATCAGTGAAACCAATTTGCTGGTGAGTACATGTGGTGCTCATTTTTCTATTCATGGGATACTTCACTTAGTAGAATGGGTTCCAGCTCTATCCAGGAAAATACAAGAGGTGCTAGATCACCATTGTTTCTTAAAACTGAATAGTATCCCATGGTATACATTTTATTAATCCACTCATGTATTGATGGGCACTTCGGTTGTTTCCACATCTTTGGACACAGTTGTGTCATCTTAACGGTAGCTTGTTTATGCCAGCAGCAACGCACCCTGAAGAACAAGCGGCCATGAAATTACAAAGGGCATTTTCCACAGCTTGTTGAGAATTGAATATCTTTCCTTGCAAGAAGTGGTCCAAAGCCTGAAAGAAGTGGTAGTCAGCTGGTGCAAGGTCTGGTGAATACAATGGATGACAGAGAGTTTCCAACTCCAGCAGCTATAGTTTTAAGCAGCATTGTGCAACAGGTGGTCAAATGTTGTTTTTCAGGAGAATTGGCCTATTTCTATTGACCAATCTTGGCTGCTTAATTGCAAGCATCCTCATCATTTCATTCAACTGCTTGCAGTAGACATCTACTGTAACTGTAATCGATTGAGCAGGTTTCATGAAGCTGTAGTGGATAATACCAACACTGAACCACCAAAAAGACATCATTAGCTTTTTTTGATGAATGTTCGGGTTTGGACTGTGTTTCAGTGCTTCATCTTTATCCAACCATTGTGCCGAACATTTGCAATTGTCAAAAAGAATCCATTTTCATCCCATGTAACAATATAATTTACAAATGGTTCACCTTTATGTCGTGACAATAAAAAAAGGCAAGCTTCAAGATGATTTCTCTTCTGATGCTCATTTAATTCATGCTATACCCATCTACCCAGCTTCTTTACTTTGCCGATTTGTTTTAAAAGGTTCAATATTGTTGGAATAGTAATGTCAGACCTTGCTGGTAATTCATGAGATGGATTTGCTTCCACTACAACTTTCAGCTCATCATTATCTACCTTGGTTTCAGATCACACATGGAACTCATTTTCAAGATTAACACATTAACTGCCATGTGAGTTGTATTTAGCTGACTCTAGTTTTGAGCCTTGGGCCTCAAGAAGCATATGTAACTCACATGTGTCTTACCTTGGAAGCCACATGAACTATTTTTCAAGTTGCATGTAACACACACAGAGAAAACAATAAAAATCACATTTTCCAATAAATTAGAAAGGATCATTTTGTTTTCAAAATGCTTGTTCTATTTATGTAATAAAACACTGTGGCCCCAATGAAAAAAAAATTTTTTTCTAGTGTGGCAGTCAATGTATTAAAATCACCAGAATGGAACATCTCAAACCATCAATCTATAATGCATTCATTATTCACATCCTTCCCAACACTTCGTTGATATTTCAAGCTGTCTGAGCTGCATTGGTTCCATGATGGAACTCATATTTGAAAATAACATGAGTTTTTGACTTATCCATGGTTTCACAAAAATTGCTCTAAAATTTTTTTGAAAGATAATTACAAACCAAACCATGCATTTGAAAGGCTAAGGATGTATCTTTACGATAAAAACAAAACAAGAAGCATCAAAGTGAAATATCAGCCGTCAAACTTAGTACTTAAGGAAATCAGACATTTCATACTTAATAACCTTAATATTTAGTTCTTATAGTTTGATTCCTTTACTGTCAAAACTAACAACTCTATAATCTCCATTCAATGTTTCTGCAAAAGGATCTTGACTTTTTGGTTGCTTATTTAAGTAAAAATCAATGTAGGAATTAATATTCAAGCCAATTGTAACAAAATGGTTGGTTAGCATAAAATTTAAGCTTGGTTATCATTTTTTAAATTTTGATCTCAGAAACAAAGCTAGAATAATGTCTGTTTTGTGAGATACCATCAACTAATATAAGTTCTCCAAGGTTTTCCTTTTTATTTCATCAGACATAATTCTGAATATCCACCTGTTTCATGAACCATTTCAGTCATATCAACTGGGCTGTTTTATCACTTTTGGTTTTTTTTACAAATGTCACTTGCCTTTTCAATAACATATTTTTTTGATTTAGAAACATTTTAGAGTTAGTGTTTCATAAAATTCTATAAAAAGCTAGATTATAACAGATATCTTAAGTTTGGAATGTTTTATAGTAATACAAAATAAAGCTTAGGCTTTGTCCAGAATATCTTATTTTTCAAGTATATATATCTGGACATTTTTACTGATAGTAGAAAATACAAGATCTTCAAAATGATAAATAATTATCATTTATTCTTTTAAAGAAATATGGATGTATGAAGAATTAAAGGTCTTGCTCATCTAAGAGAGAATTTTTTTTATCACTGCTACCCTTGAACCTGACTTCTCCTTTCAGTTCCACAACAGTAAATCTCTGCAGCATCAGCAGGTGCAGCCATTAATGACTCAATGTCCCGGCAGCCAGTGTTTTTCCTATTTATTCCCATTCCTGACATGTCACTGAATCAGATCATACCTTGGACAGATTTTTTAAAATATTGCCTTTCTATTCATTTTAAACGACCTTTTAATCTACATGTAAATTCGAATTGTAAGAAAGCACGTCAAATTTCACCAGCAGACAAAAAAAAGAATCAGAGAGGCCACAGACTATAGGTCTTACATCTCAGAAGCCAGCATTTGGGAAAAAAAATAGATAAAAACTAAACCTCTCACAATGTAAGTGCCTCACTTAAGATGTAAAGTATATATGTAGACATAAGCATAATAATTTTAGCATTCATCAGTACTTTGGAAATTATTTAATTTAATACTTAGTGCATGTATAATTAAAGTCATAGGAATATCCTGATGTGATAAGCTAACCAAACACTCATCTCGTTTCACTGATGGTACTAAAAGTGATATCTTCTCTTAGAGTAAAATAAAATTATTAGTGTCTATTAAAAGCAATCATGTCAGTGTAAGATTACATAAAAATATACAGATTGTATTTCTATATGCAGTAAGTGTGATGCCATTTCTTTAAAATAAGACATCATTATTATTAATTTTTTAAACCGGGTCTTGCTCTGTTGCCCCAGCTAGAGTACAGTGGCATCATCATAGCTCATTGCAACCTCAAACTCCTGGGCTCAAGTGATCCCTTGCATCAACCTCCCAAGTAGTGGGAACTATGATGTTTGCCACCACGTCAGCTATTTTTTTCTGTTTTTGTAGTAACAAGGTCTCACTATGTTGTCCAGGCTGTTCTTGAACTCCTAGCCTCAAGTGATCCTCCAGCTTTGGCCTCCCAAAGTGCTAGGATTACAGCCATGAGTCCCAGCTCCAGGCCCATCATTACATAAGAAAATTAAATAAATTGCCTCTGATGTTCTTTGGGAAAATAAGTGGTATTAAATCAGGGAGAATTAGAAACTATTAAGAAATCTTACTTTAATCTAAATCCAAACTTAGAAGACAGGCATTTATCTAAATGATTTGAAAAACCAGAAAACTCTGCATGGTTAATGTGTATCTTGAAATAAAAATCATTATTTTCACAAGACAAATCTATAATAGCGCACCATCAGTAACTTCCAGTTGAGCTTTTGCTAAAATGCTTCCAGCCACCGTTAAGGCCTGGCAGATGTAGTAACCCGCGTCCGAACGCTGAATGTTGGTAATCGTGAGGTCTCCAGTTGGTGACACTGAGTATCTACTGTTGGGCTGCTGGGGTTGGTTTGGGAAAAGTAGGTTCTGTGGAAGCAAACACAATCTCATCAATATTCTTTTCCCACTTGGAACAATGATTATTTTAATAACTACTACAATTATAAGAATATGATAGGAAAAATAAAATACATAGATTTAAAAATATATGGTACAGAAATGTTTAAGTGACATACAATGGGTTTCACTGGGAAACTTTTTGAAAATCACATGAAAATAACATGCTCTAAGAAGTCAGCATGCTCTAGTTGAAGGAACAATTATCCATATTCTCAAAAAGTGTGGCTCTTTATCTCAATCATTTATTCTCTCCTGATTTTCTGCTAGGTACTAATATCTTTGAAACATGGTTTTCTCATCTGTAAAATGGGCAGAATAATGCAAATCTAATTCAACTCCTAAAACATTGTGAGAATCTGACCTGTAATATTAGCTGTGAATGTGCTTTATAAATTGAACAGTATAAAAAGAATGCAAGCCTATAATTGCTTCTGATCATTTTGAATATTGACAAGTCAATTGAATTTCTCTTAAAGGTATTCAAGAAAACTGAACCTACTTCTGCTATAAGGTTTTCAAAGGCCGTAACAGCTTTGAAAGGAACAAATGTGAACAAATGCTACTATGTAAGCAAGATTAAGCAAATTGTTAGAAATAAAAAGGGGATGTAGAATGTTTCCGAAAATGTGCATGTTGCCTTAAAGAATTTCATGATAGTATTTCCTTTTAAAAAATTATTATAGTTTACTCTATATTTAATATTAAATAAATATATCCCAATCACAACTTTCAAAAGTTCTCATACGAAAGCAGTAACATTAATTTGGATGAACTATGTTGCTTTACTGTTATTCAATTAAGAAAAAACATTTGGGTATAATAAATCATATTGAGGTATGTTTCCAAGTTAGATTATAAATAAGAACATATCATATTTTTATGTTGTATTTACTTACAAAAAAAGAACATTATAACCCTCTGGGATCTGTTTCTTGATATAGTAATTAATTTTCCAAGTTTGTAATTAAACAGTTTCAATACGTTGCAATCAGGAGGTAATAACATTCAATTAAAGGCACAAGACACATTTTCACCTTAAAATGTTTTTTACCCTTGAAGTAATACCAATGGAAGAGGATAAAATAGGGTATTAACACTTTTCAATTACGCTAAATGACTTTAATCCTGCAAATGATGTCCTACTTTAATTAGAAGCTCTTCTCTTTATTGCAACATGATGGATGTCCACTTTATTAGATTCAAGTGTGACACTATAAGCCCACTTTACATAAACATTACCATGTTATTAAACTCCTTCTAAAAGGAGTGATGTTTGCTAGCATGTCAGGAATATAATTTCAATATGCTATTGACCTCTTATAAAATTTGTAGTACTAAATAAGGCTGGACATTTTCACGCACATGACACATAATTTGAGAACAAGCTGATTCTCCTGTAGAATCCAAATGTATTACTAAAATAAACCATCTAAAAGACAAGGGTTTAAATTTTAAAGCCACTTGAAAATGATACAATAACTCAAAGTGTGCACTTTCCTACAATTAGCCATTAGAATACTAATTTACATAGCACTAATGCATCAGATGGGCTTTATTCTCTCTGGGATCACTTCCTCTACAATGTAATATCAGTCCACCTTCTAAATGATTCGTTGACATGGAAAATGGCATTTGATGGAGGTTAACCCATCATCTTTATTCCCTGCTTGTATGACATGGGCAAAAGAAAATGGATTACAAGCAAAAATCAGGAACTCTACACACTTCTTGCCTTGAAGTGTCTGGATATCCTATTAGTGCTAATTGTCATTATCAGCACATATTGAGGAATATGAACCATTAAGTCCAGGCTCTTAACTATTTCTACTGATGGATAGTCATGGATCACTGTAAAAATTGCATACTGGAGACAGTAAGACCAATTTATTTTTCTTAATATTCCAATTCATGATTTGAAAATTCATAATTTGCTCAAGCACTTCTATCTTGTTTTCATTCTCTCTTTCTCTTACCCTCACCCCCAACAATGGGAGGGACATAGATGGAGAAAAGAAAACTATACATAAGATTATCATAAAATCAAAGTACTTAACTGGAAATTTTGAATAAACTTTAACATTAATATCTCTGTAATTACAGCCATGTGGTCAAATAACGGAAAAGGAATACTTGCATGCTATTTAATCATTATTTGTTTCAAAATCATTAAAAAAACATAGTTTATTTAAATACTATTTTATTTTTGGACTACAGGGCTAATATACATTTTATGCAATATCTTATATTCAATTTGGAGCTATATTGGAGGATGTGATTTACACATGGTACAGTCTTCTATGTATAATAACAAGACAAATTATGATGAGATTTCATCCAGTGCATGGATCTAAAATGTAAATTTGCAATAATAAAATTTTCAACACCATTATATTTACTATCAGTAACATAACATCTTGTTTGACTTTATAATGTATAAAGCACTTTTACATATAAACTAACCTAATCATTTAATCTTCAAAACTAGTGTGAAGTAAAATATACTACCCTCAAATTTTAGATAAATAAAAAGAGCTCCAGTAAAGTAAAATAGCACTACAGAGATTGTGCAATTTATAAGAGGAAATAGTTTTAAATTTTCTTATTTTTTTCAGTGTGTGTGTAGTGTGTATGCATTTGTCTGTTTAACTATGTCACATTACATTCACTTTAGAGTTTGGTATGATTTCATGTGAAAGTAATTTTTAAGTGACAAGTCAAGAAACCCAATGAGTATAAATCTTTTTTATAGTTACTGAATGATAAATAAGATTTGGGAGTTAAGGCCTGGACCAATTCTGATGTGGGATAAGGCAATGACCATCACCTATTCTTATTGCCCTATTACTACCCTAACATTCTACATGTCACAAGGGAGCGGACTACAACAAGGAGAAGAGGAAAGGAAGAGAAGACATTTGTTCATCCACACTGAGCTATTAAAATTACTAGCTTGGGGTGGTACAAGAATGTATCAGAATCTACCCACGACAATTAGAGATGACAAATGAACAGAACTTCTAAGGCCTCTCTAGCCAGGTAAACATACATGCGTTCCAATTAACACGTTCTTTTAATGTAGCTTAAAACATTTCCCATCTCTGACAAAGCTTTCAGATTTCCTGAAACTTTTAGTGAAGATTTCCATTATTCTAAAGGAAATTCTTTTGAAACGTGGACAAATAACAGAATGTGGTAAGGAAGACAACCATTGTATCTCTTCCTGAGAACTATATGCCTTATCATGGATAGCTTTAGAAAGTCTAGAACAAAAATATCTCTAGTCTCTTTGGAAGGCACAGATAAATCCTTAGGCATAAGCCACAATTTTTGATCTAATTTAAGTGGGAAATTTCACTCATTGCCTCTGAATCTAGAAGCTCAGGAGTTGTTCAAGTTTGGACCAATTTCTAAACAAGAAAATAAGATACTCAGCTAACTTTTCTCAGACACCCTGAGAGGTCATGCTACCCAGAGAGGGCCCTGGAGAGGACAAACAAGGGTACAGCAAAGTTAAGGCAGGTATTAGTTCCTTCTAGCATATCATGTATTATTTCCTGTCTAACCCTGCTATGAACTAATCCAGAAGGAAGGAAGGGGGAAAATATTTGTTCTAATCATAAATGGAAGTATACTTAAAATAATCATAAGAAAAGTCATTTATGCTGTCTATCTAAAGGAGAGGATTGAAATGAGATTATAGGTCAATGAATAACAGGAATATTTTTTGCATGTTTTCCATGTGACAGGGACTGTTCTAAGCACTTTGTATGTACTAACTCACTTTACCATACCACATAACTCAATACAAGGAAATAAAATGATCATCTTTATCATCAGAGATTTTAAGTAGCTACAGAGGTTTTGGTTGTAATTTTTAAGATAATCTTGTTACACTGCTTTGTATCTAGTCTAGGTAAGGTACAGAATTTTTAAAATTAATACTAACAAATGAATGCTGTACTAGAATATCTGATTTCCACTTACTTTAGAATTTGTGTTTTTATTAAGAAATAAAATATATTCAACACTGATAATGAGAGAGACAAGGTAAGCTTTGAAGAGCACCAGAGACAAGGGAAGTTCAAAATTTCAGAAAAGCAGTCAACCCTCACACTCACCTGGCTGCCTTCCTTCTGCCAAAAAACAGCTGGCTGTGGATTTCCTTTAGTTTCGCAGGGGAATGTCACCGTTCGACCTTGAGCAACAATCTGATCTCTTGGCCTAACCACAAACTGTGGAGGAGCTATAAATTAAAAGGAAAGAAAGTGTGTAAATATCAACCATCGATAAAGAAGAAGATATCAGGGAGAAAATCTGGTACTAGTTAGATTGCTCAGTGCCAGAGAAAGGCGACAGTTTTCAAATTACCTTTACACATTTTTCAAAACATAAAGAGAAAGACATTCTATTCTACCAATGTGAGGAAAAAAGAAAAATTATTAGTAGACATGTTTTAAATGTTGTATACTATAATCTTGTGACCTATATATACTTGCAAAGGAAATTAAATTGTTTATGATTTTTAACATTTTTTAAGGAAAAATATGGCTTCCAAATTTGGTTCTGCTGTTTCAATAATGATAGAAAGAAATCACTCTCTTATTCAACCATCTCCTACCTCTAAAAATCAATCTATTGGTGAGTACTGATTGTTCATATAATAATTACAAGATGTTGTGTAAGGTTGTGGTCCCCAACCCCTGGACCGCGGACCAGTACCTCTCTACACCCTGTTAGGAATAGGACCCCACAGCAGAAGTGAAGCAAGAGAACCTTCACCTGTATTTACAGCTGTTCCCCATCACTCACTTCATTACCTGAGCTTTGCCTCCTGTCGGATCAGTGGCAGCATTAGATTCTCACAGGAGCACAAACCCTACTGTAAACTGTGCATGCGAGGGATCTCGGTTGCATCTTCCTTATGAGAACCTAGTGCCTGATGATCTGAGGTAGAGCTCAGGTGGTGATGCTAGCACTGGGGAGTGGCTGCAAATAACAGGTTAGCATTTGTTTGACTGGCCCATGGCCCAAGCTAAGAAGTGGCAGATGCAAAGTAGAAGTGTTGGGAGCTTTAACCCTCTAACAAATGTGGTATGGATTATGTGGGGGGAGTGCTTAGTCAACAAAGTAGGGAGTCTGCTTGGGAGATCAAAACAAGTGGTGTAGGTGAAGTTAATGAGATCAAGATGCAAGTAACTCCTAAAGAAAAGAAAGGGATGGAGGGTAAAAATCCTAAGAAATGCCAAACTTAAATTGAGGCCTAATGATAATGACAGAGAAGAGAATAAAAGACAATAGACAGTGTAACTGGAAGCTCTCACAAAAGCATTGTCTTTACATCACAATTCTGTTTTGTTAAAGAGAAAACACCCTATTTATTTCATGAATTTTCTAATCATCTATCTCTACTTTAGTTGCAAATGCTAGAAAACTAAGACCAATAAAACATTTTAAAATCCACTCTAATATTTAGTGCATGGTGGAACCGTAAAGAATGCTAACAATAAGCAATATCTGGTAAAGGTCTTCACATGGAATTCTTGCAGTCCTTCAGGACAAAGGAAGTGCAGGTCCAAGAATGGAATAAATATAGAGTAGCCTCAAACATATAACCAATTACTCATCCTTACAAGAATGCTAGCATAGAAGAAGCAACAGCATTTTTTTTCAAAAACTTCACTGGGATTTGTACTGACTTATTTTTTGTTATTCTAATATGCTGCCTCCTAATTCAACACATCCAACACATACCCCAGGGACAGAAGGGATAAATCTACAAAGTGAAATTATCTTCTATAACTATAGATAACAGAAGATTCATTCTAACAGTATAGAGTACCTAGATTTATTAATCTATTTGAACATACTGTGGTTTATGTTGCCTTGTGTTTTCAGGAAATTACTTGCTTCTTACAATCTTCCTGTTATTTCTACACAATTCTACTGAATCAGCAATTGCATTGATTTTTCTTCCATGTTTTCTAATAAGAATGATAGTTTAAATCAATGTTACAAAATTACTTTAGGAAAAACTCCTAAAACACTGCAATGCCCATTTTTCAGTATACATGTGCAACCACCAGGTATTTGTACCAAAAAAAAGACTTAAGGTTAGTTTCTGTCATCTGTAATATTCTAGAAATATTATATATGTTCTGAAAAAGTTAAGGATGAGTGTATAGTTCTTTACTTATTTGCAATTCTATGAAAGAAATGAGATAATGCCAATATGGACACTTGCTAAGTGAGAAATATTAAGTAATTTAGTATGTATTTCATTATCAAAAATTTGAAATCCAATTCAGTCAAAATCAGTTCTTTAACATTCTTTCATAAATTCACATATTTAGTTTATTAATTTGTATTGCTTTGGGTGAGAAAGAATTTAAATTGAATCATATAACTAGTTAGTAAAACCTTAGGATCCTAGATATGCTGTCCTTTTTTATATAATTTTTAAAATGAAATAGCTGAGAACACACATGATTGAAATAATTGACTGAAATCATCAAATGAAATAGCAAATGAAAGCAATAAAATATAAACATTTTATAGTTTTAGGCACATTATTTTACCTAATCATCTATAACTTTCTGTTAAAATATCATCTCCACTTTAGATATAACTACAGACTTCCATGAATTTGATTTTCAAACTTTTGAAACTGTTTATTTGTAGGGGAATAATTTTACAAGTTCCTTTTGGCATCCAGGTTGTACAATTTTAAGACAGCTGCTCAAATATAGTTACCCAAATAAGTACTGGCAAATGACCACATACATGCATCCATTCTTCTGAAAAGATATGATTTATTCATTCAAAATGTATCGATGGACTGCAAACTATGAGACATTCTGCTTGGTACAGGGAATGGGAAGCCAGTTAAAAAAGTAATTGTTCTTGCCCTATGGTAGAGACTTCCAAGTAAATATATAAATAAATAAATACTGTTATTCAATTTTTGCATAATAATAGAAAACTGCAGAAGGCATTGGAAGAAAAAGAGTGGAACAGAACCAGATTAGAGCATGTAGTGAGAAAAAAAAGAGGAAAGATGCCAGGAGATGGCTATACTTGAGCTGTGTTTTGAAGGACAAGAGTTGAAAAAATGAAGAGGAGTAAGGTCATTTGGGACAGAGAAACGCATCACAAAATGCAGAGATCCATGAAACTGGATTTTTAGGAGAGTGTAAAAGATTTTGAGAATAAAAGAAATCTAGGAAACAGAGATGATTTAGGTAGAGCCAGATAATCTATGTGGTAAGCATTTAAAAGTTTGTCCTGAAAGCCATGAAGATGTTTTTGCAAGAAAAATATAATCGGATTTGTGTTTTGGAAAGAATACTCTGAAAGCAATGTAGATGATGATTGAAGAAAGGACAAAAACAAAGGGCTGGAAAACCTCAACAAGTTGGGAAAGAAAATCCAGCGGAGAATTACTATTCACAGTAGCACCTAAAGAGAACATTTCATCAGAAGTCTTGAAGGACAAAGAAATTCTGCAAGATCACAACATAATGTTTACCACTGATAATATAATCTAAAAAGGTCAGGAAATAATTTCTTGAACTTTTACTCAATACTGAATTTCTTTAAAGACCACTAACAAGAATCAACTAGCATCTGTGTTATTCATCCTATGAAATATCTTTTCCTGTGATGTTTACTTACATTGTACTTTTATTTCAAGTTATTATAAATATGCTGTATTTCTAAGGTATCCAATAGCTTATTGTTGCCAGAAGTTAAGCCACATTGATCTTGCTAAAAGTGGAATCTTCTCATTTTTAAAATTAAAAAAGAAACTAACAATGTTGAAATGTTTAACAAAGCAAAAAATTTAAAGAGTATTCATGTCTCTGAAAATGAACATCACTTCCTATTAGACCCTGAAGTTGGGCCAACAAAACGAGTTGCATCAATCACTCTTACTTTTGTAGACTCTCTTTCTTTGCCTAAGATCTTTATTGCAATCTTCTCTGAAGAAATATCAGCTAAAGAAATTTATTTTTGAGGTTTTAAATGAAAAACCGCATCAATAATTCTTTTAACTCTCCACAGTTTCAGTATTTCTGCCAGGTGGCAGTGAAAATGGTTTGAAAAATCTATATTTGGCTGATGGCACCAATGGGAGGGAGTAGACAGAGGTAGCATTTTATCAACATAGCAAAATAGCACAAAGTGTGCTACATATAAAATGAATTTTCTGTAATGGCTCTCATTAAACATAAAAAAAAAAACCCACACAATTAGGTCCTCAGATGACAATTCAAAACACACATTTAAACCCAATGTGAATTAAAGAGATTGAGTTATAAACTCCAGAAGAACATATCAGTTATAGAAATGGCAATTCTCCTATATGTTTCTAAGAAGAAGACTATAAAATACATATTTATTTTCTCTCTAAAACCTGAAAGCATTAGACAAATCTTTTGTAACTATGTTGTAATAACCTACTTGCTTAATCAGTCAAGTGATTATACCTTATTGCTTCAGCTATAACAAGAAATGAGATGAAGCGGAGTAGCACAATTCAGTGTTTAATCAACACTTACAAGTTAGAAAAACAATAGCTCTGTAAGAAAAATAGGTTGCATGATTTCCAGAGAAGTAGACTCAACTATAACAAGGTCAATTAAGATTAGAGGTCTGGGACAGTTTACTTGAAACTGTGTTTTGAGAATTTAAATACAATGCACAGTAAATTAGATTTGATTTCTTCTAAATTATGCTTTGATACTACATTCAGCCTAAGCTGGCTTCAATCAAAGTCACGCTGCAGCTCTGTTATGCTAATGTTTTCTGGTGAGAGCGAGTGGGTGATATGGAAATCAGATGGCTGAACATGAGTAGGAAGCACGGGCCATGCATGAGGTGGGCTTTGAGATGAGGGGACGGGGGAACCTAAAGGTTAATCACATCATGTTCAGAGTTGTTTCAACAGGAAAATATGACTTTCTATGGCAGGCATTAACATGGAGATAGTCATGCAACAGTTAGGTACATTAATATGTGAGACAGGGTGGTTACAGGCACACTCAGCTGCTCTCTTTCTCTGAGTATAATTTTATGCCTGAATGAACATTTTATTCTGTAATAATAAACATTTCAAACTTTGTGAAAAAGTAGAAAATTTTTTCTATTTAATATATTTGTTTGTTAAATACTAATATATTCTATAAGCATATTTCTCTTCCATCATTTGCTTGAGTTAAAGATTTACTTAGCCACAAACTGTTT